CATTTAAAGTTATAAATTCCCCTATATGTGTCACTTTAGAATATTTATAAACCAGAAAAAAATATGTGCTCACCTATGTAAAAACAATGCATGGTAATAAGGTTGCACAAACTAATCCTGGGTGACTACTGTTTAAACTCTCAGAATAAGTAAAATTAAACAAAAGCAGAAAGCGGAAATATGTGAGTGCAAATACGCGCTATGTTCATAGTTCATATCTGCTTCCCATTTTAAATACAGAGGTACTGAATTTCAATCACCACGGAAAATTGAACAAAGCATAAATAAATCATTTCTGAAACTTACAGACCACATCAATGATAAAATTCACCAATGAATGTTTCTATCCTCCAAACTAACACCACACAAAAAAGGAATTTTGAAGCAAAAACTTCTAATACTAATTTTCTTGAAATGTAATATACATTAATTTTTCTTTTATTCTCATTAAAATTCCTCCTAATCTCTTACTCCTGCCTGTGATGAACATAGGTTTGTGTGTAGATGTGGCCAGGTCACATTTTTTTTTTTTTTTGGTGAGGAAGTTCATCCCTGAGCTAACATCCATGCCAATCCTCCTCTTTTTGCTGAGGAAGACCGGTCCTGAGCTAACTTCTATTGCCAATCCTCCTCCTTTTTTCCCTTTTCTCCCCAAAACCCCAGTAGATAGTTGTATGTCATAGTTACACATCCTTCTTAGTTGCTGTACGTGGGATGCCACCTCACATGACCGGACAAGCAGTGCATGGGTGCACCCCCGGGATCCGAACCCAGCTGCCAGTAGTGGGCGGAGCACGTGCACTTAACCGCTAAGCCATAGGGCCAGCCCTGGACAGGTCTCTTTGAAGAAGAAATTTCCTTTCCTTTGTTTTTTGCTGGAATTATGCATTGCAGCAGTCACAAAATCTCTCTTTTTTTTTTTTGTGAGGAAGATCAGCCCTGAGCTAACATCCATGCTAATCCTCCTCTTTTTCTGAGGAAGACCCGCTGTGAGCTAACATCTATTGCTAATGCTCCTCCTCCCCCCCCAAAGCCCCAGTAGATAGTTGTACGTTATAGTTGCACGTCCTTCTAGTTGCTGTATGTGGGACACGGCCTCAGCATAGCCGGAGAAGCGGTGTGTCGGTGCGCACCCGGGATCCGAACCCGGGCCACCAGTAGCGTAGCGCGCGCACTTAACTGCTAAGCCCCGGGGCGGGCCCCACAAAATCTCTTATAATCCTTCTTTCTAGAACTGAGAAATTTCCTATAAACTTCCAGCTTGCTGTGAATTTGGTCAGTTAAACTTCTTATGTGTGAATAAGAAAAGTATTTCTTTAAAGATAACTGCAAAATTAAAATAATAAAGAATTCATAATTAAATGGTTATAAATAGTAAACATATTTATACATATGATGTATAAATGTATATACGATGTATATAAACAATATTTATAAATATGATGATGCAATGATCTGTTAAATCTTCCCCTATTTAAAAGCTGACTATTGCCATTTGGTCATATGTCTGGATTTCCCTAAAAAAAAAAAAAATTTTATATATCAAAATCTCTCATATGCCATTAAATTATTTAGAACAAAATTAAAATCTAATTAATAAATTGGATGGGCTGGCTCCAGGCTTAATGGTTAAGTGCGCGCGCTCCGCTACTGGTGGCCCAGGTTCAGATCCCAGGCGCACACCAACACACCGCTTCTCCAGCCATGCTGAGGCCGCGTCCCACATACAGCAACTAGAAGGATGTGCAACTATGACATACGACTATCTACTGGGGCTTTGGGGGGAAAAAAAGGAGGAGGATTGGCAATAGATGTTAACTCAGAGCCGGTCTTCCTCAGCAAAAAGAGGAGGATTAACATGGATGTTAGCTCAGGGCTGATCTTCCTCACAAAAATAAATAAATAAATAGATAAATAAATAGATAAATAAATAAATAAATACCTGGAGACAGAGCTTCTTCTCACACATTTTGGATCCAATTTCAGTGAGTATGTTTACCATATAAATAGAAAAAGCTGAATATGTGATGAATGAATGAATGAAAGAACAAACATTGCTTCAGGAGGAAATTCACAGGAAATGTCTTGCATTTTGATGATTGAACTGTCGTTGCCATGGCATTTCATGGTTTAAACCTCATACCGTAACATTCAGGACAAGAGAGAGCATCTCTTTCTCCTACCATCAAACAAAAGAATCAGGTTTCATATAAATTGTGCCACCACAGAGAAGGTGCCTAGCCCTGAGCCACCACTCTGAGGAAGGAAAAGTGGGATCTATATCACGGTTTGGCTTAAATTATAGGTTACCGGTCTATCCTTTAGCCTATCGCATTACCAATGATGCTTTCTCCTGATTGCCTTAGGCTGATCAGAATCCAGGACTATAGATGAGGATGGAGTCAACAAACCAAAAATCCCACGGCTGCTATGCAAGGGTGACAAGGTAGATTGGAGCCTAGAGAAGCAATCAGCCAGCCTTATCCAGGTAGGAAGATTGCAGCAGTCCCACTGTTTCCTCTCCCCCATCCTGTAGTTTCCTCTCCCCCATCCTGTAGTTTTCACCATTCCTCCCTCTCCAATCTCAACTTTATTTTCCAAAAATTTACACCTGTGCAGCTGCTGCCACCGGCACTTAGTCCCTCTGGATGGTCTCCTTGCCCTGGGCCCCATTTCTCTGCTCCCTAAACTAATTCAAGTTAAGTCCCTTGCCCCTAGTTTAACCCAAATAAATCGGTGCACTGAGAAGCTAAGATAGAAACAACAGACAATGAAAAGAGTAAACTGTAGAATCAAATGAGGAAGACAAAATTTTCAAGCTCAGAAGGTAGTGATGATCTTTCTCTTCCCAATTACTTTATACTCGATAAGTCCCTGTGGCATCGTAAGTGCTTAAGAATTATTTATTGAATTAATTAACGAATCTTAAAGTAATTGAAGTCTAGCCATAGATATCTCAACTCAAATTGCCATTCAGGGTCATTAGTCATAAATATTCAATCTTCATTATTCATGAATTCTGTTTTTGCTAATTCGCCTACCTGTTAAAATATATTTGTAACACCCAAGTAATTACTCAGAACACTATCATAGTCATTCATAGACGTGTGCAGAGCGGCACAAACTTTGTCACCGTGCTCACGTGTTTCCAGCTGAGGCTGAACAAGGCTGTGCTCTGCCTTCTTGTTTCAGTTATTACACTCCAAACAAATGTCCTTTTCATGGTCTATTTAATGCCACATTTTCTGCATTTTTGTGCTATTGGTTAAGGTATTTTGCTGTTTAAAATGTCCCTGAAGCAGAGTGCTGAAGTGCTGTCTAGTGTTCCTAAGCACAAGTATGCTGTGACATCCCTTATAAAGAAGATGCATGTATAGACAAGCTTTGTTCAGCCATGAGTTATAGGGTTGTGGGCCATGGGTTCAGAGTTAATGAATCAACAATGAAGTAACTTCAGAAAAAGGAAGAGAAAATTCACTGATCTGTATGGAGTGAGTCCAGAAATTGCTAAAGAAATATCTATAATGCTTTGATGAAGCTATGGAAAGATGGAAATGGAGCTAGACTTGTGGATTCATGAGATGATGACTGCTTTTGTTTGTTTGCTTGTTTTTAAAAACGTACTGGACAGCACAGCTGTGTGGATGAAAGCCCAAGAAATTTATCATCACATTACCCAGATTGGGAATATGTTAAACACTCTTTGGCTGGTGTTTTATTATAAAGAAATACTGCATATAATACATAAATTATTTGAAAATATATATATTAAATAAGCTATCTTTAGACAGAAATACACATAACACAGGGCATATATTTATCAGTTGACACAAATGCTGTGACTAGAGGCTCACAGGAACCTAATCCTGTATTACCCCTAGGAGCAACAGCTCAATATTAAGTAACTCAGTGTTTTCACAGTGACTGTAACACAACAGCCATGAATAGCAAGAATGTACTCTATGTCCCTTCTTGCCTTGATCTCACTTCAGTCCGGAGGATCAACACTCTTGTTCTTTCTTCTTGACCATCTTCTTTTCTCCTCAGTGACGCACTTGCATTACTACCTCTCAGGCTTCACCTGTATCAGAGCTTCACAGATTTTAATGTGACTATGAATCACCTACTGATGTTGATAAATACAAATTATCATTCAGTAGGTCTGAGGTAAGGTCTAGGACTTTATATTTCTAATAAGCTCCAAGGTGATAACTCTGCTGCGTGTCTTTGAACCACACTGAATAGTGAGGATCTACATCCTGCCTTCCCATTTTGGTTTAGAATACTTGGAGCAACAGTTTCATTCCAATAGGTCTCTATAGTTAAACAATAAGAACGGTCAGAGGAAACATTGTGTTCTCCTCAGGGGCTCAGAGAACTCACTGAGGATCTAAGGAAGTGTGAGTCTCTTGGCCAAGTGAGAAGACATTTAACAGGAAGAACATCAAATGTCTCAAGTACTACAAACATGTCAGGAAGGAAAATAATAAGAAAAGATTATGAATTCAACACAGATTTTAATTGAGAACATATTACATCCAGGTAAGACACTTTGCCAAGGACATGAATATTAAAAAGACATGGAGTTGGCTCTCAAACCTTAAAAATTCTAAAAGGAAGAGCAGCACAAGTAGCTGCAACAAAGGGCAGAAAGTGAGGATTGGATTCGGCAAAGTACAATTCAAGTGTGCTTGGAGTTCAGATAAGGCAGAGACTGCTTCCACTTGTAAATCAGGAAGGCCCTCTAGAGGAGGTGACATCTTAAATGGACCTGATATTTGAATATGTGGAAATCTCTAGGACTTTATCTTTCAGAGTTATAATTTGAGTTTTAAGCCCCAGAACTCAGGTCAGAACAACAAATCCTGCAATATTACATTCAGCTTATACGGACAACTGACAATTAAGCAAAAGTAAACAACAACAAATAGTTGTACAAGAAGAGTTGAATGGATGTCATCACTGTGTTGGGTTTAGATACGTCTGGACCCCTGAGCTGCTGGGATCTCATTCCAAAGGGAGAGAAGTGCTTGGAAATTCACGGTATGTCCTGTCAAGAACAGAGATGAAACTCATTCTGCATGAGGTAGAGTTGAGAAGTGAAGAGTAAGAAGGAAGGGGACTGGGAGGAGAACTGAGGAGATAGAAAACAAAAAACGTGGGAAGACAAGTGGGAATGGAGCAAAAAGCAGGAGGGATGGATACAAAGAACTCACCAGCGCTTCCTAAGCCAAAATGCAAGACCTGTCAGAAGCACAAGGGGCATTATGACTGCCAAGATGATCAAGCCCATGGAGTTGTGACGTTCTGTGGATTTGGGTGCACACAAGGATGTCATTTAAAATCTACCCATTTTATTGAATTTTCCTGGTCTTCCTTTATTCATTTGAGTGTCTGCCTCACCTGTCTCCTTTGTTCCTATTTCTTCTCTCATCTTTCTTCAGAGATGAATCCTTCATCTAATGCTCAATATCTTCCTTCATCTGCAGGTCACTCATTTTCCACTTTTCTATTTCTTGGATAACTTACTTTTATCTCGGAGTGGGTCTGAAATCCCTAGAATCCCAAATTTTTAACCTGACTCTCCTGCTTTGCTTGAGGACCACCTACTCCCATTCCCAGTTAGGGCCCCAGTTCCTTCTTACCCCAGAAGAGGATGATTTCCTGGTCTCCTAGGCTGCTGTGTCTCACGTGGCAAGACAGGCCTGCTGCCTCAATGGCTTCCACATCTAAGAACACTTGAAGATACCATGTCCCATCAGCATTGGGCAAGAAGTCACTTCGCTGAGTGCCCGGATATTCCTGCTCACCCTGCATCCACATCACCCAAATAGGCTTTGGGTGGAAGCCAGAGACGTGACAAACCAGCATCAGACGGCCAGGACCAGGACTGGGACCAGTGGACAGCCAGGCCTCTGGTCTTACTGCAGAGGACAGGAAAGATATTCAGATAAGGACTCTATCACAGACTTAGAAGTTCAGATCTTCACATCAGTTTAGATAAACACATTTCTCCCACTTCTAGGAATCTGTCACCCATTATTGTCTCTCCGTCTATTCCCATTTCTTAGGAGCTGAGTAGGGGATGGTAGGAAGGTGTGATTTTAAAATAGAAAATTTTTCGAGGGAGGTTTCAGGACTTACCTTGTCGCTGGAGATATGCCTTCCCTGCATCAAGAAGACCCGTGAGGAAACGTGGGCAGGTTTCAAAGAAGAGCTTGTGTAATATTTCCCGGGCAACTGTAGCCGAATTGAGTAGCGTACAGACATGCTGAGCCCTACTTCCACCATTTGGAGATGGCAACCATGCTCTGTTCTGGAAGCTCAGGAAATCTGATCCTTGATAAGCAACCCGTATGAAGCCTACAGAGGCTTCCCCAAAGTGCAGCTCACAGCCTCCTGCCAACTGTACCTTAAAGGGATCTGGGGAAGAGAAGTTGCAAATTAATGAAAGAGGGGGTAAAAAAGATAAAATGAAATGAGTGGAAGCAAAAGACAACAGAAGCAGAAGGGAGAAGTTTAGGAGATTTGAAGGAAGGGAGCAAAGTTTGGTTCAATCAGAGGTTCAGTCTAAGGGGAATTGGTGGTAGTTGGAGATGGAGGAAGAGATGAATGAATTGAGGAAGGGGGAAAATTGTTCAAAGGAGGCAACATGAATGGTGTGGGCAAAAGAATAAGATAGGACTTAGCGTGAGAGAGTTGATGTTACAATAAACTAAGGTGAATGGACTGCAATAGGTTACCATGAATGTATCGACAGAGATTGCTGAAGAGCTGGAGTGTTGGAGAAAATCACCCATCAAGGAGTCAATCAAACAGTGAGAAAGCTTAGAGTATCTAGTTGGAGGCCAGGGAAAGGGGTGGTTACAAGACACCACTAATGAAAGATAATAAGGCACAAACCTACAGTCAACAACAGAGGAGTTTTATAAGTAACAGAAGACTTGAAACCTTTGAAGAATCAGAGTCTGGATTGTAATCCTGGCTCAAAAATATGTAACTGCAGTTTTATGATGAGGATACATAAAGTCTAGAAGCGAGTGGAGGCTATTTGCTAGAGGAATAAGAAACTCATTGAGACACATACACACCTCCCACCCATAACCCCACTTCCCATAAAGGGAAGTGAACTCACATTCAAGCTGCCTTTGACTGACAGAGTTGTGAAATATCTGAAGAAATCCAATGGAGAACATATGAAGTAAGTCTTCCAGGTCCATCCACTCCTCATTGCTGAAGTTGCCCTTGGACCAGGGCCACAGGAAAATGATAGTGCCAGAGTTGCTCACCCACCGATGAGTCTGCAATTCACCCAGCCAACCTGAGCCCAGATTTTCTTCTAAGGAATGGTTGTAAAAGGATGAGATCTGGATGAGTTGGAAGGAGACTGGTTCCTGGAAGTCTGTGGCAAAAGAACAGATAAAATGAAGATAAAAAAAGGCTTTATATTCAACCTTCAGAAGAGCACAAGGACCTGGTCACGGATACTCAGAATGGAAAGAGGCTGACACTCTCACTATCCGGGCATATGCTGGGGAAAACCCAGCATACACAGGCACATGCACACAGACTCTTTTGCACTCAACTGGGCGGTTGCCAGAGTTCTTACCATCTTTATTGTCACCACCTGGGAGGAGAACAACTAGCAACAGAAGTTGCAGAAACAGCATTTCATTTGCAGATGTTATTTCTTTCTCTCAGAAAAATTGGTCTTTGATTTCTATTCTAAGCAAGCCTACTCCACAATATCTCTATTGTGACTTCTTCCTACTTCTAATGAAAAAAACCTTTCCTTTAATCGTTGTCTGCAAAAAAGAAAATCTACTCCTTCCCTAAACCCTGAACTACTCAACTCTCATTTCCCCTTTCGTTCTGTGGACTGCCTACTCAAAACCTCATTTCCTCTTCAGTTCTATGGACCGCCTACTCTGATTCTTTGCCCCTGCAGTTCTGATTCTTCTCTTGGGCTTCCAGCCTCTCTCCTTGTTACCAGCTTCATCTTGTTGACCTTCTCCTGATTCCATTGCCATGGATCAAGTCTTGTGTGGCATTGAAAAGTCACTTTACCTGTAGGGCCTTTTCCTTTCATGCATAAAAGCACAAAATTAAATGGCTTCCCAGCACCCTACCTAATCTTCTCCTGCCCCCGCTCTTTTCTGTCACTCTGTCCTTCTCTTGCCCTTTTGAATATTCACCAAATATTCTCTTCCCCTGTGTCACCCACTCCACACCCTATTCACATCTCTGACTTCTTGTCACTCGCTTTATTTCCTTTATCAGAATCCCTATGATTGCCCTGTGTAACAGTATAAATTATCACCAATTCTCCATTATTTTTAGGCAAGAACTAGTAGCCATCACAGAAAACACAGGAACATTGAAACACGTAAAGAAAATCCCCTCTGTTTGACTTAACATTGATATATATTCATTCACCAGTCACTTAGCTCCTGCTGAATCCAAGCATCTTGCTACACTCATGACTATACAGTGGTTGATAATGGGATCACTTTGTTCAATGAACTTGTAGTCTACACGGGCAGAAAAATACTTAAACCAAGACCTATAAATCTTAGTTTGCTGAGTATCTTATGATGTTTAGATTCTAAACAAAAATAAGCACGCTTGAAACAATGTTTTCTAAAGTGGTGAGCCTTAACTGGTGTTTGTCCACTCAGGAATTTTGACTTCAGTGACTGGCTTGGGGTGTTAAATCTATACCCGTGTTCTGAGAGCAACTCAAAATACACTCAGACTTTTTCTCATTGCCTTCAAACACTTGCAGACATTGCTAAAAAAAATCAGAGAATTGCAAGTACAATTGTCCTGCACTTCAGAAAAAGAAGGAAAAAATTAAATTGTAATTACTCTAGAGTTCTGAAAATAGATGAACGTACCCCAAAACTCCTAGGAGAAAATTTGCATTCTTTCTCTATCCCTTGAAGATGTGAGTCTCACATATCTTTAAAATCTAAACACCCCGGGTGATAACCAAAAAAATAAATAAGAATAAAAATAGGATTCTTAAAATCCAAAGAGTTAAGCACACCACCTTCTGGCACACCTGCTTAAGAACTATGGTCCCAGAATCTATAAATATCTATAAAAATGGTCAAAATCTTACTAAAGATGACCTAGAATTTTGTGTCTGGAGAACTTGGCTTGGTAACTGTCAGGTTCGGGGCCCTAATATATGGCCAAACAGAAATATGGGTGGCACCATATTTGTGACTAGATATGGCTGAATAGAAATGTGGTTTGAACTTTGTTTGTGGCTACTTGTTCTACCAAACTGCTGCCAGCCTTCAGGGAAATTACAATGGCCATTATGAGGAATATCCCAATCAAATAAGATCATTTAAGAAGTGCACTTAAGAGCTTGGGGTACCTATTTTAATTGGCACGCAGAAGCCTCCAAGAGGTTTCAAAATTCCAAAATACCTTCATTGAAAAATTTGTTGCAAAAGATTAAAGACACAAGTGGTGTGTCTATAAGACTATAAGACAAATGCAACTCTACTGCTCCCCTCTATCCTCCTTTATTCCAGTACTCATTCTAGTAATGCTTTATCTGAATTGCCTTTCCATTCTAAAGAGTCTGTTAAACAGTTATTTTTTAAAATAAGACCACTGGAGGCTACAGGTGATTATCTTCATGTAAGTTTTACTCCTTGATCAAAGGTCAAATGAAGGGCCATAGTTAAAGAATTTCCTAAACCCAGGAGGATTCTCAAAAGTTTTTGTAAACAAATTATATTCACTGCCTGAAAGAAATTTTGTTTTAGGTCTTCTCCCTTAATGCAAAATAAAACTATATACCCAGAAGGAAAGAAAAACTTTTTAAAGCCCTTGTAAAATTATTTGACGCCGGGTATCTGATGGGTACTGTAGATATTAAACCAATTTGCTGTTTTTCCTGTTTAACTTGAGGGGTGACTCTAGGGGTCTGGAGGATGTGTGAGCTTGTTTTGCAGGAGAAAGAGAATGCCTTCGGAGAGGTTGCTATCACCAGATGGTGCATCACCAGACAAGTGGCCGGCCCTCAGCAGCTGTTGAAGCTCAGCAGTCAGATTGCCCAGAGTCTTACCGGGAGTGACCCCTTGTTTCCCTGAAGCCCCTCCTGCCAAGCCCCTTAGCTCTATAAATCCCCCTGCTTTCTCTTCTAGGGGAGGTGGATTTGAGCGAACTCAGGCTCCCACCTATTCATTTGGGCCAATTTGAATAAATCTTTCTCATCTCCATGCACAGATGTTTCAGTGTTTGGCTTACTGGGCATCGGGCACACAAACTTGAGATTAAGAGGTTTGGTATCAGATTTATGGGTGGATGAACCTATGATGTAATTTAGGCTGCAACCCAATTTCTTGAGGAATTGAGAGCAACTGTTCTTAACTTAAAAATCATTCCAAAACTAGAAACGCAGCTCTGGAGTCAGTTCAAAGTTCATATTCCTTTTTACCAATCTCAAAAACCCTCTCCTATATATCTTAAAAGGCTTGAAATTTGCATTCTTTTCCATGCATTTGAGATGTGAATGTTCTACCTGGTCTCCTCCAGGATCTCTTAGGTAGACCATCCCCAATTCCTAAGACTGAAAGAAAAAAAAAGAGAAAAGAGACTTTTTAAAAATACAAACTGCTGTAGAAGCACTCTTGCCCAAAATCTAGTTGAAGGACAAATACAAATCTTAAGTGCCTTCTCCATAAATATTAGTAGAAGTTTTAGCCATCTAAGCAAGTAAACTAAACTTACTCCAACTGTTCTTTTGTAAGCTAGTGAGTTTTGCATTATCATACCAGCCTCATGGCTAAACTTTAAAGTGGTCTCTGCATCTGTCTGTATGTTTATATGTATAATAGATATGATAAATAGATGGCAAGCAATAGGATATATTGGAGCATATGAGGAAGCCATTTGGGGTAAAACTAATTTGGCCTGAGTTTGCTTTTCCCACAGGGCCTGTCACCTTTAAACATGCATTGTGTATCTGCTTTGCCATGTCCCAAAGAGACGAGTAAATGCCCTTAAGATAAGGGTACAACTTCCCCCACATTAGCATTTCTTTAAGGATAAGCATTTCTCCCTAGGCTAGGATTTGGTTGCTGCACTAATCATGTGACCACCCAGCTAGAGACAACAGACCTGACACAAGCCGCACCCATTAAGACAGCAGACCTGCTCCCTGCTGTGTCCATCAATAGTTATTCTGGCAGGGCAATCTGGCAGGGCAATCTTGTGGCTATTGTAAAAGGGACATTGCAATCATATGTGATACATGCTTTTTGAAGGTATATAACCACTGTGTACACCCCACTTCTTTGGTGCCCTTCCTTCCTTATGCAAGGAAGACCCCGGGCTATGGTCCTCAAAAGTTGGCTCATAATAAACTCACCCCAATTTTGATTTATACATTGATTATGGATTATTTATGTAGACAGATATGTGGTATTTTTCTATCTCTAGATGGTATTGCCAAAAATAATTTGTAAAAGAGCTATATTTAATTAACCTAAAGAAAAATAAACACATATAAATTTAATACTCAGAGATATAATACAAACTAACCCAAATTAATTTCAGGTTCACATTGGGAAAATATTTTTGCATTAAGGCTAGTTTAAGTTTGTGGGTTTAATTAAAACAGGCATGTCTTTAGACTTATCAGCATTAAATATAATACTTTTATTCTACCTAGGCTTACTAAAGGTTAAATGAGTTTATGTTATCTCTTACAAAATTTGTCTGCAAGGAAAATAGCTTGAGATAATGATTGACATTGTCTAATGTCTCATGAAATTTTGGGGTGTAGTCTAAATGTAATTGTTGAGAGCAATTGATTTTTTTTATTGTATAAGTTTCAGAAGTACAGCTTTATAACTTGACATCTGTACACACTGCAAGATGTTCACCACTACAAGACTAGTTACCTTCCATTACCACACAATTGACTCCTTTCACCCATCTCACTGGCCCCTCAATCCCCTTCCCCTCTGGTAACCACAAATTTGTTCTCTGTATCTATGATTTTGTTTTTGTTTTATCTTGTTTGTTTATTTGTTTTGTTTTTTTAGATTCCTCATATGAGTAAAATCATGTTATTTGACTTTCTTCATCTGACTTATTTCACAAAGCATAATACCTTAAAGGTCCATCCATATTATTGCAAATGGCAACATTTAATTATTTTTTATGGCTGAATAGTATTCTATTTTGTGTATATACCACATCTTCTTTATCCATTCATCCATCGATGAACATTTAAGCTGTTCCTGTATCTTGGCTTTGGAAATAATGTTGCAGTGAATGTGGGAGTGCATGTAACTTTTCAAATTAGTGTTTTGGTGTTCTTTGGATATATACCCAAAGTAGAATTACTGGGTTATATGGTAGTACTATTTTTAAATTTTTGAATAACCTCCATACTGTTTTCCATAGTGGCTGCATGAATTTACATGCCCACCAACAGTGCACAAATGTTCCCTTTTCTTCACATCCTCTCCAACGCTTGTTATTTCTTCTCTTTTTCATAATAGCCTTTCTAACAGCTGTGAGATGATATCTTATTGTGCCTGTGATTTGCATTTCCCTGATGACTAGTGATGTTGAGCATCTTTTCATGTGCCTGTTGGCCACTTGTATGTTTTCTTTGGAAAAATGTCTATTCAGATCCCGTGCCCTTTTTTCAATCTGATTGTTTCTCTGGTGTTGAGTTGTATGAGTTCTTTATGTATTTTGGATATTAACCTCTTATCAGATATATTATTTGCAAACATCTTCTCCCA